GTCAGCCTGCGGCCAGGGCCCAGCGCGAGTCCCTCATCTCAGTCCTCACCCAGCGATCCGCTGATGCCATCAACTTCCTCGCCGATCTAGGCGTGGATCTCACCGTGGTGGCACAGCTCGGAGGCCATAGTCATCCACGAACACATCGTGGCGCTGGCAAGACGCCTCCAGGCGCCGCCATCATCACCACCCTTGTCGCAAAGTTGAAGGAGGCCGGAGGAGACCGGTTCGAGCTGATGACCGATTGTGAGGTCACCAGGCTGCTCACCGACCCCACCAATGCTGCTGTCTCCAGCAACGGTAACGGCGGCTCCTCAGCCGACCACCAATCCGTGACCGTTGTTGGAGTCGAGTACAGATCGACCAAGGACAGCGGCAACGGCGGTAGCGGTCATGACAGTACTTCTCTTCACCAACTCACCGGCCCCGTGATCTTCACCACCGGTGGCTTCGGCGGTGACACGCACGGTCTGCTGGCCCGCTACCGCCCAGATCTGGACGGCATGCCCTCCACCAACGATCCGCGACCGGGCACCCACCATCTGCTCGCTGCCGTCGGTGCCAAGCTGGTCGATATGGACAGCGTGCAGATTCACCCGACCGGCTTCGTCGATCCGGCTAATCCGTTGGTGCCCGTCAAATTCCTCGCCGCCGAGTTGCTGAGAGGTGAAGGTGGCATACTGCTGCACAACGGTAAGAGGTTCGTCAACGAGCTGGAAACAAGGGAGCATGTGAGCAACACCATTATGGCTCTGCCGGGCGACGGAGTCGAAGGCGCCTCTTTACGCCAATGGGACATTCAACTCCTGCTCGACCCAGGCGCGGCCGAGGCTGCTGCGGGCCACATGGGGTTCTATCTGTGGAAGGGCCTGATGAAGAAACAAAAGGTTTCCGAACTGGATGCAACCACAAAGGAGGCGCTGGAGGAGTATGCAAGCATTGTGAGGAGAGAGAAGGAAGATCCGTTCCGTCGCAAGGCATTCGGGCACTGGAAACTTGGTGTAAACAGTGACGGCATTGTCGATGAAAACGCAGAGGTGTGCGTGGGCCGCGTCACGCCCATTGTGCATTTCACCATGGGTGGTGCCGTGTTCAATGAGCATGCTCAGGTGCTTTCGTCCGAGCTTGGGGAGGAGCAGAAGCCAATCCAGGGACTATGGGCCGCTGGCGAGATTACTGGCGGCATTCATGGTGATAATCGCCTTGGCGGTTCGTCGTTGTTGGAGTGTGTGGTCTATGGAAGAATCGCGGGGGCCGAGGCTGCTGACGTTGCGAAGAGGGCTTACGTCTAAGGCCTGATGGTACTGATGTTTGGAAATGGCCCACGGAGAACGGCCAAACAGACGCTTGGAGGGCGAAGTTAATGCCTTGCAGGATTAGTGTCTCTCTGCTGGGTATATGATCACCGTTTACAGGAGGGCTGTAATATGACCTTTCGGGATTGGGCGTTGGCGTTACGGTTACCGGAGTTTGGCGTGGTTTCGGGGTTTTTGGGCTACCAAGTGTCGTTGCAAGCGACCCTACCCTATAGATTATCCACATGGGCTTTTGACCAAGGTTTGCGCCTCAGTTCAGCATAGGATGTCCACCCCTGGCTCGATGAATATCGAGGCCGGGAGCAGTTGCGTTGAAGAATTGAACAGCAGGGAGCAATCGCAACGACGTGTGGTTGTGTATAATCATTCCTTGGTTTCGAACTACTTTTCAACGACTCGAATTGCTCAGCCTACATGACTCGGTGGTAGAGCACACCTCTAGTAAAGATGGTTTGATTTCGCCTGTGGGCAAGTCAAGCGTCTTTTTTTTTTTTTTTTTTTTTTTTTTTTTTTTGGGTTTCCCTTTCGGTTTCCTCCTTTTCACCTCTTTCTGGTTTCTTCCATCTCATGTCTTGCTTCCTTTTTTACATCATATCATGCCTATGGTTTCAAGAAGAAATATAGTTGGATGACAGACAGCTGTTATGGTCGTAGTGTATAACCAACTAGGCACTTTTGCATTTTCCAACAATGTTGAACAAACTCTGTTGAAGCATTGGTGCTGATAACCACTACACTATACCAGCAAGGAAAGCCATACATACTGGGAAGTAAATATAGTTTCCCTACCCAGGAAAACTCGCCGGTTCTCAAACCCACTGATCCCATCGATGTCCATCCCGGTATACTAAGCCGTCCGTTTCAAATTGCGGACCTTCGGCCTCAACAATGTATCCCCTCTCGCACCGGTCAAACTCTACCCTTCTCTGCTCTTTTTCGTAAAAGGAATCGAACCTACTCGAAAGAGCATCATGTAAGTTCTGCACATTCCCAGCCGGGTGTAGAGCCTCCCATGGTCGGATACACGTCTTTCCTTTACACGACTTGAGGACAAAGAGGAGCGAATCAAGTCGGGCAACGACTTTCTGGACTGGTACCCCAAGAAGAGTCGCCGGCGTTTTCCCAGTGGCAAACGACGAAGGGTCAAGAAGATTGTTGAGCTGGTAACGATCGGTCTGTTACATTTCATGTGTCTGTCAGCATCGTGAATACGAGGTGTTTGATGTCAGAACGGGCCAGAAGAAGGCCCAGAACAAAAGAAACTCACCTGAAGATCGTACAGCTCATGTTCACCACTACACCAGACAGAGTAGTACATATTATACCTTTCGCCCAAGATCCTCACGGCCTTGTACGTATTGTTCGTCCAGAACCTCGTCGCGTCTTTTTCAAACACTCGGCCCTCCGAGACCGCAAACCCCCAGTACTCAACCGTGACATGCTCATGTCTCTTTCCCTTCGCCTTCGCTTGGGCCAGGTCCTCGGCGGTAAGCGGGATCGCCTCCCCATCCAGCCCATATTCTTCTTCTTCTTCTGTTCTTTCCTTGTCACCCAAAGCCCCAGCCAACTTCAGAACCGTAGGCGCCAGATCCACATGACTCGTCACCACCTCCGCTACCTCACCCCTCTTCACGCCCGGTCCCCTCACAATCAACGGGACATTAATGTCCTCTTCGAACCCGCACTCCTTCCCCGGCTGGAGCCGGTGCTGACCAATATGGTATCCGTTATCAGCCGTGTAAAAGACGTACGTGTTCTCCAACAACCCATGGCGCTCCAGCCGCGCCACGACGCCTGCGACCAGCTCGTCGACCGATTGCAGCGTGCGCAGCCGCTGTCGGTAAAAGTGATCATTGCAGGCTACGTTCTCGGCGCTCTGGTGCGGCAAGCGAGCAATCCAGGACACGCCCGAGGCGCGCGAAGAGGGGTTGAAGTGGGGGGTGCGCGGGACGATGACATCTGGGAAAAGGTGGGCGTGTCGGGCGGCGGGAATGGGAGGGGTGAAGGAGACGGATTTTTCAATGTCGTCGTGTTCCTTGGTTGGACGGCGTTGGAGGGTAGCTGGGTCTGAGGAGGAGGAAGAAGAGGAAGAAAAGCGCGGCTCGACGTTGCTGTGAGGGGCGATGGGAGCAATGCCGAGGAAGAAGGGCCGGTTGTGGACGTTTTTGGCGGCTTTGTCGAGGAATCCATAGGCCTTTTTGGCGAGGACGTCGACTGAGTATTGGCCTTCGTAGCTAGCCGGGGGATCACGGTTACGTTGGAAGGTGGCGTTGAGGTACGAGTAAGTGTAAGGGTCCAAAAGAAAGTCGGAGCCGTTCCAACCGGCTACGTAAGGGGAGTAGTAGTTATCAACGGTGTGGGCGTTGAAAAGCTTGCCGGTGTAGTAGGTATCGTAGCCAGCTTTTTGGAGCCAGACTGGCAGATAGGCTTCGTTGAAGCCTTGACTGATGAACTTGGGGTATCCACCTAGTTTCGCGTGTTAGCTACGCCTGAAAGTGACTGCAGAAACTCAAGAAGCACCTTACCATATGGCGGTGATACGTCCGTGACGTTGGTGTTGTGAGCTTGTTTCCCGGTCCACAGAGAAACTCGGGCAGGGCAGCAGATGGCCGTTGTACAGTGGTGACGTTTGTAGGTAGTACCTTCATCGGCCAGGTGTTTTTTGAGCAGGGGAAGATAGTCGAGCGACTGTAAATGCAAGTCTTGGTCGTCGGTAAGAATGAAGACGATATTTGGGCTGTTCTTTTCCCCTTTCGTTGTCGTCCCCTTTGGTTTATGGTTGAAGCCTAGAGATTTTTGTCCGCCGTCTACGGCAAAAGCGGCTGATAGTGGTACGCCTGCTGCGAGAGTTGCCACCGAAAAGCGCATCTTGAATGATTTTTGTGACAAAGTGCTCTGATGTTGAAAAATAATAAGACTGTAGGGATTCCCAGGGGTAGTAAACAATGATCATCAGGTTCCAAATAAATAGGCCCTGGGCACTGAAAAAGGTCGGGATCCCAGCAACCATCTATGACCCTTATCATTGTTGGGATAACTCCCGCAAATTATGTCTCATCGTCATATAATCGAGCCAGTGTGGCTTCGGATTGGGGCTGTGATTGCTAAGCGTTGCTCCTTTGCATCGCGATGTTTCCGCGTTGGTGGGCTTGGAGGTTGGCGTGAAGTCATCGATGGCGTGCTAGTTTGGCGCAGTTGCACCATGCGGGCGCTGCTATAAGAGATTCCATGACAACTCTGTCCCGCAGCCTAACTCAAACTACGAGATGGTGTAATTTATCTCTATTCTCATTTGCTCATATTTGTCGTTTCTGCAACCAATTTGGTGGGAAGGTAGTATCTTGTTCGCGATCCAAGGGCCCGTCTAACGAAATCCAGACACTTATGTCGTGATTGTCTCGGCCTTTCATGTACCGCAAGGTATCTCGGGGATAAGCTGATTCTGGAGTTGTCAGCCTCCGTGTTCGGAATGAATCTCAAGAGGTGGGGATGACACTCAGGTAGCTCCCAGAAAAGGGAGTATTTCCTTGAACGCGTTTCCGAGTTCGAGTTTAGATTTTGGTGATCTTGCGCTTTCCAAGATCTCAAGGTACGTTCCATAATGATATCTCAAGAGGACAAGTATTTATATTGGCCCAGGATTCCCATCGGGCCTGAAAAGCTCTTGCTTAAGAACTGGCAAAGATGGTTCAACGCCATGGGAACGAGCCGTCTCTAGTCACAGAACGAGAGCCTCTTTTGAGTGACACTGCGCAGCCCAGCTCCGACTACCTCTATCACGCCTGTCGCAGTACTCCTGAGGAAGGCATCTACAATCGATTTATCAAGCCAGTTCCCGAGGAAGACGAGGATCGGAGTCTAGGAAGCGACGAAACCGAGTCGTTGAAGCAAAGCGCCCATGTGAATGTCGTCAAGATCATATCTGTCATGCTGCTAGGCATCTTCGTCGCACAGACAGATACGTCCATTCTCATGGCAACACATGCAATTATTGCGTCCGAGTTCAACGCCTTGAAGGACTCTAGCTGGCTCATTATCAGTTTCTCTCTAGCTGGGGCGGCCACGCAGACTTTGGTGAGGAATATCATCGAGTGACACAGCCTTGCGGGCGTATGCTGACTACTCCGCCTGGTTAGTACGGCAAGTTAAGTGACATCTATGGGCGCAAGAGGATGGTGATAATCGCGTATACCATGTTCATGGTTGGCTGTGCAATTGTCGGTGTTGGCCAGACAATGTCGCAGGTTGTCCTGGGCCGAATTGTATCCGGTGCTGGAGCCTCTGGCATGTCCGCACTCGTGTCCGTTCTCATCACAGGTAAGCATGGCTTTGACATGAACTGATAGAGTGTTCGCAGTGACGACTAACAGCCAGTTGCCCCTTAGATCTGCTTCCTCTCCGAGAAGTTGCTCAGTGGAGAGCGTATGTCAACCTCGTAGCTACCCTTGGCCGAAGCATTGGCGGACCTTTAGGAGGTTGGCTGGCAGATGTCGTCGGATGGCGATGGTAAGCCTCTTCTGCTGCCGAGTATGGTAGAAACCAACTGACGCTGATACGCTCAGGTCGTTCCGCGGTCAAGTGCCACTCATAACCCTGGCCATCATTCTCTGCTCAGCATATTTACCCAGCTACACCAGCACGCTAGACGAGACAGATGACGCCACCCAGTTGAAGAAGAGCAAGCTCAGCCGTATCGACTTCAAGGGTTCGTTCATCTTCGCTGCCCTTGTGCTGGCCCTGCTTCTCCCCATCGATCTCGGCGGCGTCAAGATCCCCTGGTCCCACCCGCTCATTTTCGTCTTTCTCGGTGCCAGCGTCATCCTTCTCGTCTTGTTCATTGCAGTAGAAAGGCGACAGGCCGAGCCAATCCTGCCGCTGGAGATGTTCCACAGCAAAGACGCCATCCTTTCGTTCTTGATCCTGGGACTCCAAACCGCCGCCCAGGTGGGACTCATGTTCACTGTCCCCCTCTACTTCCAAGTGACATCCACGCCGCGGCCGTCCGCCACCGTCGCGGGCGCGCACCTCGTCCCTGCCGTTATGGGCAACGCTATCGGCGGCATCATCTCCGGTTCCGCCATCAAACGCTCAGGACGGTACAAGTCCCTCGTCATCTGGGCCGTGACCTGCTCCTCCGTCGGCTATCTTCTCCTAATGCTGAGGTGGCACGGCAACACCAACTCTTGGTTCGAATCGCTGTACATCTTCCCCGGAGGCTTTGGCATGGGGGTCACGAGCAGCGCGCTGTTCATCTCGCTTCAGGTGGTCATTGACCCGGCCCACATGGCGCCTGCTGTGTCGTTCATGTATCTGATGCAAACGGTATGGATGACGATTGGGTTGCCGGCTGCGAACACGATTATGCAGATCGTGCTTCGAAAAAACCTTGAGATTCGGCTGTTGAAGCTAGGATATGACAAAGTTGAGGTAGCCAAGGTTTGTGCCCTGACCCTGTGCTTGTCGCTATGCCTTTCGCTGTGCGGAATGGCTCAAGGCTAACTTGGAGCCATAGGTCATATCGAAGGCGGTTTCTGATGTTGACTTTATCGACGGCGCAATCAGTAAGGTCAGGGATGCTGTTGTCCAGTCGTATATTGACGGCCTATGGTGGAGTCACGGTCAGTTTCCCTCTTCACTCCCTTTCTCGCGTCTCTTTCTGGCAAGTATCTACGGCACGGACTGCTGAACACTGTTACCATTACTTAGGGTTCTCGTTTGCCTGCTCGGTCACTGCACTTGTGCTGGCTGTCTTCCTCAAGCAGAGGAGGCTCGACGTACACAAGTCTAACCCCTGATGACCATTCTTTCTGGGCGAACACTGCTGCTGAAGATTGGGAATATCCGGCCGTTGAACAACTTCAGCCCATATTAAGTTTCCGGGAGAAGCACACGGATTTTCCTTGGGCTGCTCCGTACAAGTTCACCAGTGTGGCTTGTGTGTCTCAAATAAATCCACTGAGTAAGAAACTCCGCAATGCGTGAAATATGCCCTAGAATGATGTAAGTGAGCAGCTAAACATGGCGTGGCTTTGAGACCCCTCGCGTTCCTGGTCAGTGTCAGTTTTTTTTTTCTATTTTTTCTTCTCTTTTTTTTTCCTGGGTGCCAGCCAATGTTCCATGAAGAGGTGAATGACAGAATCCTTACTAGTTATATGTGGCGCTTCCAATATCGAGTGATAACGTCCAGTGATAACGAGCAGCCGGACTAGGCCGAATCGCTGTTTTATTGTGCCTTTTCGAGTATGACCTTCTACGCAACAGGATATTCCCCCCACCCCCCCCCCCCCCCCCCCCTTCCCCGGGAAAAAAAAAAACGCCTGGCTGTATGAAACGTTATTAACAGTGCTCCCCATTGCAAAGAATTTTATGCACCCATCCCACCCTTCTACCCTGGGTTGATATCTGTTCTCGCGAGCGGGAACCATTTCGATTTACATCGGCGTACTAGAACCGAACACCCCAAACACCGCGCCCTGCGCTGACTCCCAACCAATCGCCATACTCGCCATTGCCCATTGGAGGAACCCATCCAAGGTTCCCGACCTCGTAGTCACACTGCCAACTAGCCACAGGACTCCTCACGTTATCAGGCTGGCCTGCCGGGGTCAATCCGGAGGGCTGGTTGAGCAAGTCCCAGATAAGCACCTGGCAGTCGTCACCACCCGAAGCAAGCGTGCCTCTCCGGGTGGGCGACCACTCAATGCAGTTTAAGGAACCCCCATGGCCCCGAAGCTCCAGCAACGCCTGCCCTGGTTGGCGAACGTCGAGTATCCTGATTACATTGGAATCCATCGCAAAAGTTGCGAGTAAATGTTGGTCATGCGGAGACGTGGCCAGTCGCAGGAGGGGTGGGGGGTGCGACATGGTTTGCTGAGCCAGCGTAGGACTGATCCGGCCGCCATTGGCATCTAAATATATGGGTTAGTTTGTTGTAAAGATAGGGACCAACGAAAAACCGACAAGTGACACTTACCACGCTCTTCCTTGCCTGTGGGCTCGTAAATGATAGTACTGTGCTCAAGGCTGCGGAGATCGAACATGCGCACACTGCCGTCCTGGCCACAGCTTACAAACACATCTACACTGTTTGCGCAGAAGCGAACGTCGTACACCTCCTTATCGTGGGCGATAAGCTGAGTCTTGGCCGTCAACGATGGGATATCCCAGATGGTACACGTAGTGTCGATACTCGATGTAATGATTAAGCTAGGCTGAACGGTATTCCAGTCGAGCGAGGTCAGAGGAGCTGTATGATCGGGCGTCTTGGAGTTGGACAAGAGGGCTAGGGGAGTGAGCTTGGTGATGGGGGCGTCACGGCCGCTTCTCGACGTGATCGAAGAGCCACTGGTGGGGACCACGGGGTCAGCTGGAAGTGACCACAGTCGCAAATGGTCCCCTGAGGTAGCGAGCAGGTCTGTGGATTGTTTCTGGGATGAAGGAGGTTCCCACAACAGGCGCGTTACGGGGTATGAGTGTGTGGCCTCGGCGGTGCGGGTGAAGTCCATGGAGTACTTGGAGGTGCCCGGGACATATACATCGGGTGGTGTCTGCGTCAAATTGGCCTCCAAGATCTGGATATAGTTGTGGCCATCCTCCAAGTAGCTGCCAATGGCCAATTTCCCGGCACTGTTTGCGCTGGGACGCCACTTACACCAGTCGAACGAGTACGTAGCCCAAGGGGCCATGTAGTTGCTGGTGCGAGACTGGGGATTGGCCAACTCGTAGGCCTGGCTACCGGGCAGCATGCCATCAGAGAGGGTGGAATCGGCCCGAGGCCGGATATCAGACAGTCCCAGCGGGGTGTTGGAGACGTTGCGAGATGACGAAGCGGCCGCGTACTTGTTGGTGCTTGCGGGAGACATGTATTGCGACGAAGAGCTGCCACCTGGAGGAGTCGGGTTGTAGGCGGCATAGGGCGAGTTGCCGCCGTCATAGGAATTTGAGGCCAGGGTAGCAGGGCTGGAGCGTTCATAGCCGTGGGACTTGTAGTCGGCGGACTGCTGCATCGTGGGGAGAGTGGGAGCCGTGTTGGACTGCATGACGGGCGGACGAGACGACAGGCCTCCGGGCTGCAGAACATTGGGTACGGCACCAGCGCTTTGATAGCTCTGCATGTTGGGGGGGCTCGAGGGCATCTGCTCGAGCTTGATATGTGGTGCGCCGGAGGACGCGTACTCGCGGGGCGACGACAAGTGGGCCTGGTGTGCCGACATGTGAAGCTCGTCGCCGTGGGAGGCATAGGCACTCGGTCGGCGCGCCGGCTGATATTGCTGTGACTGCTGGTTCATCGTGCCAATGCCAGTCAAGACACGAATATCTTGGACGAAGGAAGTGTTCGGGAGGCGAGGCGCCTAGGTCGTTGGCTCGAGTTGACGCTAGCGGCGGGATGCGACTAGAGGGCAAGAAGAGAAGTGCCAGGGCGCGGCGCTGCTTGATATTAGGTTATGGACTGGTATATGCTGGAGGCTTGTTTATGTATAAGATATGACGCAGAAGCGGGCGGCGGGGCGAGCTTAAGGGCGCTGTTTCCAAGGTCGCCGAGATGGTGGGATTGGTTTACGATGTGGTGGTGGTGGTGTGAAGGTGATGGTGCGAGCCGAACGGGCGCCTGACGAGGACGGCGATGTTACCGAGAGCACAAGAGAGTGACACAGCGAGTATGGATATCCGATGGGCGGAGAGAGGTAGGTAAGCTTCAGTTCTGTTCTGGTCCGTATCGGCAGTTCCGTGACAATCACCTGTCGGCTTGTTTCGTCACCATGGAGAGGTGGTGGACGACGAGAGTGGCAGTGGAAGGTGGGAGCAAGACGAGATGGGAAGGTTGGGTGGTGTACTTCCACTTTGGAGAGACGACATCAATGGCGGGTTACAGCGGGCTCCCAGCGTGAAGAAGAGCCACCCTCCTGTGAAGGTTGCGGGGGACAAGGCAGTGTACTATGTACATGTTCTTGAGCTACCTACTCAATAACTGCAACTCTCTTCACTTGGTCCTCTGCTCCAGGTACTACCAGGTAAGCTGCGCTTATCGAAGGTGCTTGGCGGCGGCATCGGTGTGTTTTGGCCCGTAAAGTCGCATCGAAAGAGGCATAAGCTTTCACAGTGCAAGCGTTTAGACATTTATACGCTTTAAGCAGCCGACGGAACGAAAGCCGCATAGCGTTTGCTCGATCGGACCCCACACTGTCGATTGACGGGCCGGCAGACAATTCGATTTCGCGCGCCTCAGCGACCCCAGCGACCCCAGCGATGAGCACCTCGACGGCGTCAATATTCAACCTAACAACGAACGGCAGGTAGGCAGGAAGGCTTACTTTCGACTACAGGCGACCGCTCTTAACAGTACCAACCAGTCACCATGTCGAACCTCTTCCGGTCGCTCGCATCCTCGATGCGCGCGCTTTCCCTCGCCGCTCCTCGCGCGACTGCCGTCAACACCACCAAGACCGTTGTCTCGACATACCAGACACGATGCCTCTCTCAGGGTCTCCTCTCCCGCCACATTTGCACGCCCATGTGCTCCCATAACAGACCCGTCGCCGTGTCCCAAAGCGCCAAGAACGGCCTGCAGTCGAAGCAGCAATCGAGGGGCATGAAGGTTCACTCCGCTATCAAGAAGCGATGCGAGCATTGCAAGGTGAGACGCACCGCATATATTATATATATATATATATATATATATATATATATATATATATATATATATCTGGCCCTTGAGATATCTAGAGAAGCCGGCGAGTGTGGAGGTTTCAGGTAGGGACCCGGACTAATCCGTCAACCCGACATCTATACAGGTCGTGCGTCGCAAGGCCAACAAGAGGCAAAACGGCTACCTCTACATCATCTGCTCTGCGAATCCCAGACACAAGCAGCGCCAGGGTTACCGGTGAACATGACGATGGCGATATCGACAGTGGAGTGACGCATGGTGTGTACAACGAGCGCTCAACAACGGTCTTGGTCTTGTGGTTTTATTTTCGGGTCTACATAGAAGGATTGGGCTGTACGATACGTTAGGCGAAAGGACCATCTTGAACAACGAGCGCCGACTCGCATGCCGATACGGAGACGTGTATTTCAGACCTGGCATTCAACGGGCCTTTTTTTTTGTCGCCCAGCATAAGCGATGGCCCGTCACGGCGATTCAGCAATGAGATTGGGATAAACCGAACCCAGCAACGGTCTGGTCGTGTGGATGATACCAGCGCATACGGCCCCAGCCAAATGACAAGGAATGCGACCCATGAATAAGAGAACGGTTCTTCGGTAGGTGAAGGCCGAGGCCAGATATGGTCTCTTCAACAGTTACAGACCATCAATATACCTCTCCATATTTTCCCATTCTGTCTTGCCTGTCGAGAGCAGATAGCGAATGTGGTCCTTGTGAGTGAGACAGGCCAGCGTCAGTAGCAAAAGGGATGCAAGCAAAAATGAGAAATCGGACAAGGAGGGAATACGAACAAGGTCAGTGACATGGCGGTTTCTCTCAAACTCGGCGCGGGCCATCCTTCTCGTCTCGGCACGCGTGGCCGGGTCTGGGATCCGGCGGGTTGCCCGCATGATGGTGCGGTACAAGGCCAAAACTCGGGCTCTTTGGAGAAACTAAGTAGAGATGGTAGATTGGAAAACTCATCCTCATCACGAGCTGAGTGGGAGCGACTTACATGTTCCAAACTCAGTGTGTCTCCCAGACGAGGCCGCGGGCGGCTTGCATATCCCCGAATGCAAAGCCGCAGAGCTGGCAAGCACCGTAGAAGTGGTGGTGCTGGGTGTTTCATGGAAATAGGGTGTTATAAGGGTGAAGTCTGTGCCTGTGATGAGATTGGTTGATTCATACCCTGAGCTTTGCTGATTAGAATACTCCTTTGGATGAGTGAAGGGAGCAAGCAGATCAGGCTTGGCAGCTACCAGATTGAAGTGTGTGGTAGGAAAGTTGAGGTAAGATACTTCTGCACACTATGCTTCAATAGGAAAGGCCCTGCAGCAGATACAAAGTACCTTTGTGTGATGACGGGAGGCATCACGTAGAAGTGGCTTTAATCTCCCCTTTGTATGTTGATACCCGTTGCTTTATGTGGTGCTGCAGTCCTGGGCGGGAAGTGGAAATCGAGGATTCAAACTATTTTCGTCATTTACAACTGCTTGCTATAGAAACTAAGCATTCGGGTTCCACGTTGTCAACCTCGACTTCAACGCGACATCAGACTTCATCCAATCCCACCACGAGCGCGTGACACCAACTTCCATACGCCAATGGCACCAAAACGCCAACGGGCGCCAACGAGCCCCATCGAGAGGGCAAATCGCCAAACAGACAAAGAGTTCATCGCCAACTATCTCCAACCATCCGTCACATCCTCGACACTACACCCCTCATCGCCAGCGCAACTACCACCAAAACCCTGGACCACCGAATGGTCGCATCCCAAAACCGGCACCAAGTACACCATTAGCTTGGTCCAGTCCGGGAAGCTCAGCGAGGAGGAACTCAAAGCATGCTTCGACCTGATCAAAGAGACTAGCTACGATGACTACCAAAACTCCAAAGATAAATGGCAACCCAGGAAGAAGATGGAAGAAATGAGATCGCCCGATCTTCGCTACGTCCTGGTCAAAGACGGCTCGTCCGGTTCTATACGTGCTTTCACGTCCTTGATGCCTACCTATGAAGAAGGTCAGCCGGTCGTCTACTGCTACGAAATTCATCTCAAGCCGGAGTTACAGGGGTAAGAAGCTAAAAATAAATAAAGAAAAAGAAATATGAAAAAAAAAAAAAAAAAAAAAATCATCTCTCCAGCACGCGCCGTGTCATGGTCCATCATGTGCAAAGATGGCCAAACAGCCATGTATGTACTCCTACACTAACCAGATCCCTCGCTGACTACTTATCTGCCACAGCTCCGGACTCGGTTCACTGTTGATGGGATTCCATGTGACTGTGGCCACTAACCTGCCCCCGATTACAAAGGTGATGTTGACATGTTTCCTATCCAACAAACGCGCCCTTGGCTTTTACAAAAGGCACGGGTTTGGGACGGATGACATCTCACCTGGACCAAGGAAGTTCCGGTCAGGGAAGGTAGTGATGCCGGATTATGTTATCATGAGTAAACCCGTTGTTCGTTCCGCACCGCTCACGAAGGACAAGCCGTCTGAACGGAAGAGATCCCACACCGACGCATTTGGGTATCACTCGCCTGAAGATAAAAACCATAAAGACGAAAGACCAGAGCTTGAGCCATCCACATCTTCCGACGGGAAATCATAGGCCAATATCGCGTTTGTGGAGATATCGACTCCTGAAAAACAGTGGTTGTGTGTGGTCTAGACTGATGTAGGCCCCTATGCCACGTTAAGAAAATCTATACAATGATACTAATTCGCTCCTCTTGTGACGTTTTTCTCGTCAGGCCGTAGCCTTGAAGCATGCACGCTGCGACAGTCGTGTAAAGTCGCTGTCATGCGCCTGGAATCATCTCGCAATGCTCGAGGCAGCCAACCGTCATCAAATTTCAATGCAGCATATTCCACGCTGGTATCAACATCCACGTCCAACAGCCACATAGATGGGAGTCGAAGTCAATTTGTCGTTCCTAAAGACGTAGCGATACGTTAGCAATATCTCCTCACGGCAATGAGCGCCTTGCTGTGCAAATCAAGCACGGGTAATACTCACGTTTACGTGACCTGTCCCAAGTTTCGCTTCCGAGAGAGGTCTAAGAATTCACGCCCATGTTGATCCATCTCCGAAAACAGAAACCGTCGTCAATCTACCAACCAGACGAGGAGCCCACAAAAGCCAACATGGCCCATCCGTATATCCAGTTCATCCCTTGTGTGACATTCGCTCTATTTATTTGTACGATACTTGACAAAAGCTTGTCTCACTGTCGTCCCGAGATTGCTCTGCTGCCGAGGAGAGTGCAACAACCAGCAATAAGTTTGCGTGAACTGTATCCGAAACGGCATACTCAAGCACTTCATGCGAGGATGGGAGCTCTTCCCAAGATGGCAATCCATTCTGAGGGTGTCGTTGTGCAAGTGACTGCTGGTCCACTGTCGGCTTGTGCAACGTCTGTTCGCTGCTACCAGTCGCACATGTTCCGTATGGAAGGCCATCGTCGCCATTTCCAGCAACCCAAGGGCCAATCCCAGACCAAACGACTGGCTCTCCGTCACAGGAGGGCTGGGGAGGAGGATCCCACGTCCGCCAGTTCAACCCGGCATTGCTGATGCGATTGATCCGGGCGCGGTCCTCTTCAGTAGCTTCACCCCACCATCTTCTCAATCTCTCTGACGTCGGGACACTTAGAGGATTCGGAGGCAAGTCGAAGTCGCTCCATTCCTCCCTCCACTCCGGGATACCCTTTGGCAGATCACGCAACGGCAAACGGGGACTCGGGGGCGGACTCCATGACATCCAGTTCAAACCGTCTTGCTGCACATTTGCTACCCTGCGACGGGCTTCAGCAGAGAGTTCGACCCACCGGTTGATGTCCTCGGGTGTCGGAGGGATATAAGGAAGCGAAGGGAGCTCATTGTCGTCGTCGTCGTCGGGATCGAGGTCAAGGTCACCGATGTGTGAGCTGTATGTCGACGAACCGGGTGAGATGAGCGAAGGAAGGCTGTCTGTAGAGCCCTTCGGGCTAGCATACTGATGGGCCTGCTTTTGAATCTCAATGGCCAGGTGTTGGCTGGCTCGGGCAGAAAAGAGGCAGCGGAGTCGGATAGGAACCTGGAAGATCATCTCTAGTGATGCGAACAGAGCCTTCTTGCAGAGCACAGCCAAGGCGACAGGAAGCGCAAAGGAACAGCCAACGGCCCCGAGGCAGAGGCGTAAAAGGCCGAGGTGAGAGTCATGGACGTTGACAGCAAAAGTTCCCTCAATCATTTCGATTGATTCTGCTAAAATTGCAAGAATGGCCGACAGTAGTGCTTCTTCTGGCCCGGGGTTCTGAGATGAGGACCAGGGTAGTGATTAACAAGAACAGTAAGAAGGGTAAAGAGTAGACGAGGAATGGGGATTTGGCAAAGTCGAAGCACCTTGGTTATAAACGACATTTTTTTTTCCCCGTGCCAGAGACGTGTAAGCGAAGTCCCTGGTGCAGCCCTTCAGTTCACCCCCGACATTCTGTTCCTAATCCTGACGCAGCCGTTAGTGTTGGGAAGCACCTTTGGAAGCCAAACCTGGCGGCATCGCGTGGCAGCTGCGGTTCGTGAGTAAGGTTTCTCAAAAAGCAGCCGGTGGCGTGCAAAAGGAAGTCGTCACTCACCAGGTGCAACTTCACCGGATCCTGCCTTTGTCTAATACACACGAACTCGTACCAAAATCCGTTGTGTCAATTTTGCGCCAACCTCATGGCAGGCTTGCCTCGCTCGACTACCAAAGAAGGCTATGCAGATAGCCTGGCGTTATAACAAGGCACAAAAAGGTATACGATGCTCCTTAAGAAGCACAGAACGGATATGCGAGTTTGGCGAATTAGTAGTTACTGTCTTTCAGTTCAAGAGGTGTATCTTTTACTTTGCCTTGTCAACCTTCCCTCCGATCAATGCTCCATTTCTAAGCTCATCGACATCATATGTCTTTCTTACACTCGCTCATGGTCAGCTGGAAAATTGGAGTGACTTGCGCAGGCTGAAGAAAAAGACCGAGACAAATGCAAGGATGAGCCAAGAGCGACCGAGACCCTATCTTTTCTTCATTGCTGCCATCTTCATGTCCTCGGCGTAACAATTCAGCTTCGACCTCTCAACTTGTATTTGGCATGTTCACGCACATACCTATGGATTTTGATGGCCCTAGTCCAGTCGTCAAGGTACGCAACAAGACGGGCACACCGCTCTAGGCCATGCGCGATCGCCTCGACAGGTACCAACCAGTCACTCCAACAATTTAACGCTCGCGATCAAGGATGTATAGTAGTCTCGTTACCCTCGTACGAAGGGTCACATCAGAACACATGCACGGCACAAAAAAATTGTGAACAGACATTCAAATGGCAACATCTGGTATCATTAGATTCATAACTTGTTCATACCTCTGCAATCAAACTCTCAGCCAAAGCTTAGAGCTTCTGCATGGCAGCGATATCGGAGGACTGGACGTAGTCCTCGAATCCAGCGATCTCCTCCTGGAGCTCATCGAGGGAGATCTTCTCGTCCTCAATGACCATGTTGATCTGGAGCTTCTTGATACCGAAGCCGACGGGGACGAGCTTGGAACCACCCCAGACGAGACCATCCTTCTCAATACCACGGACGGCAGCCTCAAGAGCAACCATGTCGGTCTCATCATCTGTAACGACCGGATTAGCACAGATGCTTCGTCTGTACACCGCGGAAGAAAGGAAAACTTACCCCAGGGCTTGACATCCATGGTGACGATGGACTTGGCAGCGATCTTGGGCTTGGCAGCCTTCTTCTCGCGGTAGGCAGCAAGGCGCTCCTCACGGATGCGGGCAGCCTCAGCGTCCTCCTCCTCATCGTCGGAGCCGAAAAGGTCGACATCCTCCTCCTCCTCCTCGCCAGCAGTCTCAGGGGCCTTGGCGGGGTTGATGGTGACCTCGGCGACATCAGGGCCGTAGGTGGTGTAGGGGGCAGAGGAGTCGCCGGCGAGGGTGGCGAACTCATCCTCGTAGGTGGCGATGTGCTTGTACCAGCGGGCAGCGTTGGGGTACTTCTCGGCGGAGGGAGCCTCCTTCAGGGCCTTGAAGACGGCAACATCAGCCTGGGAGGCAGTGTAGCTATACAGAGCTGCGCGTTAGCAAGAGCGTGTTCGCCAAGAACCAGAGCGTGCATTGATGTATATCCAGTGTGTTGTTGGAGGAGGTTCGAGTCAGAAGTGCACAAAAGTGCTGTTGTGTTAATCATTTGCAGGGTCTTAAGCTGCTCAGCAACACGGACCAGTGTGTTCATCATTCGAAAGGGCAGGAAAGTGACCATCATATCATGGAGAAGTCCGTGATACATACCCAGTAACGTAAGAGCGGGTGAGGAGCCAGTTGTTGAGCACTGATGCCAAAGCGCGTTAGTTGACAAGTCCTTCTCTCATGATTGCGCTTCTCGTCGAGCGCAAGCGCAGGCGCAAGCGGCAGGTTGGGGGTTGCTTACCGGCAAGGCCGGCATCGGTGAGGAGATCAGTGAAGCCCATTTTGCTGGATTTTGGGGATTGAGAAGTGGTGATGAGAGATGGATGTTGATGTGAGGAATGCCTGGAGAGAGAGAAAGGAGTCAACAGAGGCAGAGGCAGCGACGACAATGTGGCCCAAGGATGGCGGGGTTGAAAATCTTTTGGATTGGATCCATCCAATTTCGAGCTCCACTCTTTGGTGCGCGGAAGACCCCGCTCTACGAAAAGCGAAAAGCCGCTGCCTGCAGTGGTGCGTCCAGTGGAAACCGAGTGCCTGCAGATAGCAGGAGCACGGGCCATTCGATTGATTCGCAACGAGTGAGTTCAACCGCTGAAGGCACAGCCAGCCGCGCGCCACTTCAAAACAGCTAGGGGAGGAATACTACTATGCATGTACCTCTAGCGAAGGAAGCTGCTCAGCCACGGTTAAAAGCCCTTGGCCCAATCCTGGACTCGTTCGTCGTCTAGGCCTTTGCACTCTTTGCCCAGCATCAACGCCATCCAATCAAACATGACGTCACATTCTCCTTTTCCCGGCGGTTACAAAGTAAACAAAAACAACACTTACCTCTGCGGCAATGTGATCTGTAGATATCCCAGGGTGATCAGATTTCGCAGATGACTTGAGAACCCTTACGGGTAGCTAACCGTCATCTACCGAGCAGGCTAAAAGGTATAAATAAAGACCGGAACCCTTGCTACAGTCGCGGGTGTCCAGCAGTCCCCATGCCAACGAGCCCTACGCACAACTGGCCCTTGCTAGGCGTGTGTCACCTGGATCCTTGGCCAACTTGTCGATTGGCTCACGAGCAGTGCACCAGCTCCATGACTGGCGTCTGTTCTCCCGTCGCTCGACACCACGTAACGTCACTGAACCCTATTGTGTCTATGGCCCAAAATCGTGCTAGCTCGACTTGTTGAGGGCGCCAATGCGTTGTTACCGCGCGTCATTTGTGTTCCCTGTAAAGAAAGTCACAAAGCCGACAACGGGGAACCTGGCTTCCACTTGAGTAGGTAGAAACTTATAAGATATAAGCTCGCGGCAGTGACGACTCTTCCAGGATCCAAATCTTCATCCGCATCAAACTTTCATATCACCTAGTAACTCAGCCGCCTCGAACTGTCCCGAGTGAAAACGAATCCACCAAATAAACAAAGCCAAACTATATATTATCCACCAACGGTTCTATTCTCCACGACTTGAGACTTTTCAAACCCAACCGCTCTATCTTGTGGAACTATCTCAAACACCCAGCATTACATCATCACAACCGCTACCATGGAATCTCTAAACCGCTACATCCCCTACGCCCACATGATCGCAACGGTCTTTGGCCTTATCGAGCTCGGTCTAACATGTTACCGTGAGTTTTTCTCCATCTTCCACTTTTAAACCATTACACCACTAACAATCTCCAACAACAGTCGTATCACCCTGGTGGCGAGCCCCCGGCATCTACGCCTTCATGCTCTTCAGCTCCGTCTGGACTTTGTTGGTTCTCATCTACATTGCCCTCTTCCCGCCTTACTTCCCCAAGACGTTCCAGCGCACCATCGCCCTCGCGCTGGAGTGGATCACCATGATCTTCTGGTTCGCCGGCTCGATCGCTCTCGCCGTTTATTTCGGGTCTCCGAGCTGCGGTGCCGACACATTCTGCGGATGTGTCGAGGCCGCTACTGCCTTCGGCTTCCTTCTCTGGGTTACCTTTTTGTTCATCGTTATTGTCGATACCATGGCTACGCTCAAGGGTAGGGCAAGGGGTCAGAGGGCCAAGCCTGTTGTCGGAGTTTAGGGTGGCGGATTGAAACACAGAGAATTTGATCCCTGGATCGGACTCCAACAAGGAGTGGATGGAGGAATGCATGTCGGCATTGATCTCAGCTGTTGCTGGCTGCATCGCTGCTTGGGAACTGGCTTCCACAAGCGGCAGGGGAAGATGATTTTAATGCTAGTGGAAAACGGGACACGCAGCGGGATGCATGGCATGCAGGAATGCAGGAATGCGGAATAACAGAAAGAGTTGTACGGCAATGAAGAGGTTAGATAGTTTGCATCGGGACAGGCGCATCATTGCGAAACATCGCGGACAGCATAGCATAGAATACCCTTTTCCTTTTACCTAGGCTAGAGCATTTATATTTGCATCTACACACCCGGATATCACAACGTCATTTTCTTGTCGCATCGTGTGCTTGTCAAGACCAACTCTCAGCCTGCAGCTATGAGCAAGAACAGGACTGTCAACGTTATATAGATAGATGAGGATGTCTCAAAGACCAAGTGCCCGCCGAAGCCGACTTATCGCCATTATGTTCCGCTCCGTGTACCAATAAATAACCTGTGCTGCTATTGCCAACCACAAATTCTGGGCTTAGTGTATCAAAGTAGTTAAACTCTCAACCATAGCCGATGGCTGAATGATGATGCTGATGATGATAATGATGATAGTCAAGAACCGGCTCCCTAAAGGGACTCTGAATATATATAACTCGGACGTGAGCCAAATTCCTTATCGTCCCATGCCTAGGGTTCAGTGAACACCTTATACAATGCTTATGTTTTCTTTAACACACGGACAGGAGGTATCTCAATCCTTCTTCTTCTCCTTCCCTTTCTCCGCCGCCTCTCTCTTCCTTTTCCTCCAAGCCTTCAACTCGTTCAACATCCCCATGACCAAGGGTACAGCCACAGGTCCAAGCAAAGGAAGATACACGGCCACCTTGTGCTCATCCGGGAAATACAGCTGGCCAACCATACTCTTCTCGAAGAAGGCGCGCTCAGCCTCAGCCTCGGCTATTCTGGCATGCCTCAGGCCTTCGGCTTCGCCAAGGGTCTCGCAAGCTTGGCGCAAATGAACAATAGTCTTGGATACACCATCTGCGACACTGCTAGGGATGGAAATCGATTTTAGTGCCAAGGCAAGACGAGCCAAGGAGCCGAGAGTAGAGGAGGCCCGCAGAAGTAGGTCTGCCGAGCGGATGCGGGACAGCGTAGACAGGCGAAGCGGGAGGGAACCAGAACTCGGTGTCCCGGTCAGGGACAAGAGATGGGATGTAAAGGTCAATAAAGGCTGTTTAAGGGCATCCACAGACACATGGGCAGTGTCATGCGGGAGGGAAAGCAAGTAAACAGTGCCCCATTGTGGGATCAGCCATGACTGGGAAGTGGTCAACCCACCCTCAGCTGAATCCCGGGCATTCTCAGAGGAGAGTGCAATGGTCTGGTTGCCAACAAACACAATGAAGTTCACTGTCGGCGCACCGCCTATAGAGGGTGAAAGAGGCCATTCGGCGGCGTTGATGAAGGATGAGAGGTCATCCTTGCTTAGTACCTGGTTCTGCACTCCTGGCGATGCATACAGCTGCACCTGGGTATCAATGGTAAAGTTATGAATAGGCGACAGCAAATCTAGAACGGGCTTCAGATAGTCCTGAATGGCGGCTTCAATATCCCAGCTGCTTGGAAGCGGTCCGCTGGTGAACAGAGAAAAGGTGAGGTGGTATGTAGGCGCATACTTGAGCGATCGTGTCGTCCGCTTGGCAAGTGATTCGGCCGCTTCTGGGGTCAAGCTCTGAGGCCGGTAGTCGGTCGGTATCGAGTTACTGGAGAGCAGGTAGGATATAATGGCTTGCTCCTCGGCAAAGGTAGATCGTAGCTGGCCGGCCACATAGGTCGCTAGCGATGACGAAGCTGATGTCGCGGAGGGTGCAGCATTCGGCGGGTATGTGATGTCAAGGACAGGCTCGTAAGGATCGAGCGTTGCTGTTACGGCATCGCCGGGAAGAAGACGTATTGTAAGAGCCGTATCGGGTTCATCATTCCGTTTCTGTGGCGCAGCGGGCGAGGAGAGTTGCAGTCGCAAGTGGTGCCCCGAGAAGTCGTTAAGGTCATCGAGGGCGTGCTGGGTGAGACGGAGGAGGTTCTGGGCCTCTTGCTCCGGGAGCGAGTTGGCTTGGATTGAGATGCGGAGAGGAAAGACAGGGCGACATGCCTATACAATGTTCAAGCGCGGGTTAGCAATGTCAAGGTTCGAGCTTCAGACATGGTGTTCGCTCATCATGCGCACCTTGCCATCCGCCCAGTCGAGCATCTCCTTCAGGGGAAGGTTAGCTCGGTGGATGGTAGTCGTCTTCCACCATACTGGCAATCCCAGTAGCAGGACGATCAGCCAGAACGACACTATAACCCATATGCGTCTGCGAATGTCGGAAAGCTTTTCGGGGGGTGGTTCCTTTCGTGTCGATGTTTGCGCTGCTGTCGCCGATGACAGTGGAGTGGCCATAGGACTCGATGTCATCGTCGCCATTTGAGTCTCGGAGGACAGAGTGTCGCCAGCTGCGCCATGGTCGATGGGTCGTCGGGCAAACATGGTAAATGTTGAGTCAGACCTATTTGCCAAAGGCCATCTACCGCGCTGCTCGAATGTCCTGGATATTGACAGCGTCAAACGACATCGAGGTGTCGTGTGTATCAGACAGGATGACCTCGAACATGGGGCACCGGCGCCACGCCTGGGCGACCACCAACCGCGTCTCTTAGGCAGGATGTACAGGCACTGGATGGCTCGTCCGAAACGGCTAGCCGTGGAGATCCCTTAACGTGGGTACCTGCCTCCACCTCCGCCAAGCGCTCATCTTCGTTATGGAACTTTACTTGAATCTCCAATCACAAGGCTGCTTTGAATCCCACACAGTCTACAATCGAGACGGAACACATCCGTTCATCTTTTTTTCTATTGAATTGCAACCATTAAGAAGCACCACGTTCGAGCCGCATCTCATTTGATCAAGGTTCATGATGAACCCTCTTTATCTGCGAAACCGGACTTCTCTTCTTTATGGGCGTCCGTCTTCTTACGTCGTCTTCGCTTTGCCGAACGTGGGTCTGTCGTGTTACTGTGGACGGTTTCACCAGAAAGAAAAAAAAAATACCATACCTTCGTTGCCCAACCAGGACAACAACTCACCCAAAATCTGCCACCAACAGACCTGGAACAGACTGTCGGAATTGCTTCACGCCTCACGGTGAGAAGTGCTTGCCCGCCAAAATTCCAACCGCGCCGTTCCTGGATGGGTACTTCCAGGCTCCGGAGGGAGGCGCTACTGCACCCCGCGCGGCTCGCTTATACGCGATGTACAGTAATGTCCCCTGCTTTTGCAACCCCCCCCTAATGCTAGCACCCTACTTATTGCACAGATTTGTGAGTGCAAGATTTACAAACCCATACTGGGACTGCTAACTGCTAATTGCAACAGTTATGACCAGATTTTTGCATTAACAGGGGTCGGATTTCTTAGGGAGTGAACACTTATACCTTCATATCGGGGCTTAGCGACCCACTTTTCCCGCCCCTCGGCGTCTTCCAGTAGCTTGAACACCCACTCCTGGTCCGTGCATAGGATCCCCCTTTTGCAAACACCCTACTTATTGCAAGAAAAATCGCTGCAGGAATTGTGTTGCAATAACAGGGGACATTACTGTACATTCACATCAGCGGCATCAGCTGGAGACCACGAGATGGTGTGCAAGATCGGTCTGCTTAATCGGGTTTCTACAGATTTCGCTGCCTCCTGATAAATAGGCAGACTGGTACCCCCTGTCGTAACATTCAATTTCAAGCCATCCATCATCTCTGTCCAGTGCCAAAGCTGCAGATGGTGGTGCAGTGACTAAAAGACTCGAGAAGCCGAGGCACACAAAGACCTGTGATCATCCGATAGCATGCAGGTGGCATCTGGTAAAACACAACACCGAATCCGCGGATCCGACCATCCATCGTTAGGTTTGCAATTGATTCGTTGCTCATTTCCTCCACGTTCTGCGTGCATTCCAGCGTCCTTATCAACGGCGGAAGGGG